TTTTCTTGCCTAAATGAATTTCAGCTCTCTACGTGTGGATGATGTGAAATTGTGTGCTGTTTCTTTTACAGCGATCTGAGGCAACCTCAGATCATTGATCGATGCCACCCCCCCACCCCCCCACCCCCAGCATGCACACACAGTGAGCTTTGCCCATGGAATTGGGTGTTTTTATCATTTTTCCCCAGACTTCCATTTGTAGGATGTTGCAGTTCTTTTTTCTGTCTACCACTCCCATTCATAGCAAAAGGAACCAAAACAAACCATCTTTGAACCAAAAATAAAAGTTTGGACCTCTTTGCCTAATTTTAATATTGTATTAAAATTTTCCTCTTAAGTCTTTAGACAGTTTTTTAATATGTCCTAGAAATTTTCATATGATCTAATTTTATATTATGCTTATCCTTTAAAAAAAATTGAAATGGCTAATAGAAGATATAGATATATAATAAAACTGTTGAAGTAGGGAATAAGAGTTCCTAGCGAAAACCAAAAAAAGAGAGAAAAAAAAAACCCAAACCCATTGCTGTCAAGTCAATTCTGACTCATAGTGACTCCGTAGGACAGAGTAGAACTGCCCCATAGGTTTCCAAGGAGCGCCTGGTGGATTCAAACTGCCGACCTTTTGGTTAGCAGCCATAGCTCTTAATCACTACGCCACCATGGTTTCCATTCCTAGTGCAAGAGGGAGAAATACCTATCTTAGTTGTCTAGGGACAAATAGTAACTCTAAGGAACCCTGGTAGTGTAGTGGTTAAGAGCTTGACTGCTAACCAAAAGGTTGGCAGTTCAAATCCACCAGCTGTTCCTTGGAAACCCTATGGGGCAGTTCTACTCTGTCCTATAGGGTCATTATGAGTTGGAACCAACTCTATGGCACCTAACAACAACAACAGTTGAGTACTGGCTGCCAGAAAGTTCTATTCGTGCAAAAAGAAGCATACCAGTTGACCAGTATCATAGGCAGAAGTCACGTGCGTATGTAAAAAAAGCCCTGCAGAGGGAAGGAGCACAGAGCACATTTGACAAATTGAAAGACCAGTGTACCTGGGGCATAGAGAGTGACAGCGTATGAATTGGATGAGCTAGGCAGTGAACAGATCGTGGGGAGAAGGCATTGGATTTTGATATTTATCTTAAGAGTAGTATAAAGCAGTTAAAGAGCTTTTATTAAGAGAGAGAATCTGATTTGGTTGCTGTGGGGAAAGGAAGAGGTGCCAAGATTAGAAGAGGCAGCGCTATTGTAATAGTCTAGGCTGGTGGTCTCCTAATGTTTGAGCTTATTCTCTAATACACGTTAATGTGTAGTTTATATTTTTATATATATATATATATATATATATATGTACTTTGGTGTTAACATATTGTATACACTGTAAAACATTAAAAAAAACAGGAATGTAAAAAGGATGAGAAAAAAATTAATAGAAAAGGAAATGCTACTAGTAATTTCTTCCCTGCTCCAGTGTATGTACACCTTCTGGGGTATGTGCATCTCACTGTGAAGACTTCTGGAGCCCTGGTGGCACAGTGGTAAACAGCTTGGCTGCTAACTGAAAGATCGGCAGTTCGAATCCACCTGCCCCTCCTTGGAAACTCTGTAGGGCAGTTCTGCTCTGTTCTGTAGGATTGCTATGAGTCGGAATCAACTCAACAGCAGTGGATTTTTTTATATATGTTAAAATTTAAAATAATATTTTTGAAAATGTTTCAAAATGCTACTTAAAAATCCCAGTGCTTTGGATAACATTTATGGTTTTTAATTCTCATGTCTCCTGGCACACTGCCCTGCAATATGATACCTGTTTTTTGAGTACAGGCAACCATGCCACTGCAGTATCTTCCTCCACTCTATTCTAGATACTTTAGGAAAACACAGACACATCTTGCTTTTCACTCTGTAAAATGTATGCGGTAGAACTTGGCAATCATTAGGGAAATATCTGGGGGCCTAATTGATGGCTGAAAGTGGGAACATCACTAATTCTGATGCTGCACTCACTCAGTCACTCAACAGACCAGCTTTCCAGAGAGTGCAAATCAAATTCAAACCAATCTTCAAACAAACATTATCTCCTTTAGTCCTCAGAAAAATGCTGAGGGTGAGTAGTATCCCCATTACAAATTGCATTGGGACTAACTGCTAATAGTGGAAACGTGAATGCTGAGGGTCTACTATGGTAACTTTCCAGTGCTGAGCAAATCTAGACAGCCTGTCACTTTACACTACTAACATCCCACCCCAGATTTCTACATTTTCCTGCTCATACAAAACCCCTAATGGTGAGAGAGAAGGAGAAAAGCCTGGAGAATGGCTACTTCTCAAACTTCATGAGAAATAAATGACCAGACTATTTTAGGGTCAGAGTAGCTGATGGAGAGGGTCATTTTTCTTCTCTAGACATCTAATATGTTAAATTTTATATTTTTGGTACATCTCAGCCCTAAGCCTATTTTAGTATGGCCTAACTTAAAGAGGAGAGCCCTGGTGTCGCAGTGGTTAAGAGCTCAGCTGCTAACCAGAAGGTCAGCAATTCGAATCCACTGGTTGCTCCTTGGAAACCCTATAGGGCAGTTCAACTCTGTACTGTAGGGTTGCTGTGAGTCAGAATTGACTCCACAGCAATGGGTAACCTAAAGAGGAAGGAACCCTGGTGACACAGTAGTTAAGTGCTGGGCTGCTAACCAAGAGATTGATGGTTCGAACCCACCAGCCGCCCCGAGGGAGAAAGATGTGGCATTCTACTTCTGTAAAGATTGCAGCCTTGGAAACCCTATGGGCAAGTTCAGCTCTGTCCTGTAGGGTCCTATTAGTTGGAATCGACTCAACAGCAACCGGTTTTTTTTTTTGTAACTTAAAGAGAAATGTTCTTTCATAGGTAACATGTAAGGTGTATGGAACATCTGTGCTAGTTCTAAAAGTAATTATGGTGAAATTTCCATATTATTGAATGTTACTCAAACTTGGACAATGAATGTTCTTTCCCATATTCCATCCTTCTCCCCCAACTTGGTGAAGAAAGAGTTAATTGCGTCAACATTAAACAGGAAGTGCTGTTAGCCTTATGCATATGATGGAATGAATAATTTAGTATCTTCAGGAAATGCAAACTGCAGTAGAATTCAAGCAACCTTATCAGAATTTAGATCAGTATTTTACCTGATAGTATGAAGTAAAAGTCAGTAGAAAGAAGATGCTTACAGATACCAAGTACAAGAATCTCGTATAAGAGTTTAAATTGTGAGAAAGATGGGAGGGGGGTTTGGTTGCAGTTGTTTCGTCTTACGCAGTGATAATGGTTTACCTGCATTCTGACGATTGTCAGGAGGAAGGTGGTGACTTTCTGCCAAAATGATTGGTAATGCCATGTGGCAATTTCTTTGCTGTCAGAGCCGAGATAATTTCTCAAGTTTTTCTTGTAAGTTTTTATATTTGCTTTAAATATGGATTAAAAGAACTGTAGGGTAAAACCTGAAGATTAGGCTTTTTTTTTTTAGTTAATAAAGATTTGATAGAAGTAGTTATTTACAAACATTAGTAAGGCGGATTTAAAAAGCAGTTTAAACTTAAAATATAATTATGATAGATTGTTTCTCTCCTAATTAGCTTAGAAATTTTATACATATGCCTGTGGTCTTTCTGTATCTTACGTCACTACTGTAAATATTTTTGTGCATGCAATTTTAATGATTGAGTGTTGGAAGTAACTAGCAAAGGTGATGTTTATGTTAATTATTTTGCTTCTGTTTGAAAATATCTGCTGTGTGTAATATTTTTAAAATTAAGACATATTTGATGGAGTTATATTAAATCTAATTTCTATCAAAAATTATTATTTAAGACTTACCACCGTTTTCAGATGTGTGCATCCTTTAAGTATAAATTGGTTTGGATCTGATTTTATGGAAACTTTTAGTTAGCATAAATTGTATTACTTAAAGAGTGCAGTTTGGGTGAGGGGAGTCAAAATACTGTCTTGTTTGCCTTGATGCGATCTTTCTTACTTAACCCAGTATATTTTTAACCCATTAACTGTTTCTTGGTTAATGCCAGTGAAAAAAGAAAATCTTTCCAGTGCTGCAAAGAATTTTCTTGAGATTTTACTGAAATTTATTGATGTATAAATTCCTTGATTTTGGATAAACCCTTCTATTTTTTATGAATTACCACCTTCTTCTCAGTGAATTTTTTTCTGCTAAAGAGAATATACTTTGTTCACACGTAAGCTAAATATTAATGTAGATAACCTAAATATTAATGACTGTTGGAACTGGCCACACATTTTAAATAAGGTATTTTGTCAGATGTGTGTGTGTGTGTATATTAATATATACATACACGTATTACAAAAAAAAAGGAACAATCGTGTGGCGTGGAAAAACAAAGAACAGCTTTAATTTTTCCAAGTGCAAAGCGAATGAGGATATTCTCATTTTACGTCAATGAATATAAAACTTGTTAGTTGCTGTAGGCTCTGTTTATCAGTAGCTTTGGTCTTTTTTTCAGTCAGTAGAAATCAGTTACTCTCAAATTAATGTTAAACATTTCCCCTAATTTTTTTTTCAAATGCAAACTCTCCTAAATGAGCAATACTAAAAAAAGGTAGTAGCTTTCATGAAATTACCTCTAATGGCCATAGATCTTGACTTCCTACACCTCATCTCCACTTACTTTTTAAAAATATAATCGTAAAATGTGGATTGCACTCTTTGATTGTGTAACTCAGGAGACAGTTAAGCTATCCACTAATGCATCATTTGATCTGTAGCTTATTATAGGGTTTTTCCACAAATAATATTACATAGAACATTTCTTAAAGAGCTTATGTTAAAGGAGAAACGTTTTGTATTAAATTACAGAGCTTTCCAGGATGAGGATCTAGATAGGACGTTCGTATAAATACATTTTGAACATTTCAAAGCACCTTTTAGTTTGCGTGAAATTCTTCAGATGGCCCCGTTGTCCTTTGAAGCTTCTAACACCAAGGTGTCTGTTGCAGCCCAGAGCAAGGTTACTGCTACCCAGGACAGCACTAATTTGCGATGTATTTTCTGTGGTAAGCAACATTATGTTTACATTACTTTTTCAAGCTGTGGTACATACTACTTGCACATTTCCGTAACTTATGTTTCCTTAGGCCATAGTCTGATTTGTGGTATTTGGAATCTAGAGCAGCTACTGTTTTTATGTTGTGATATTTGTTGTGGTTCATGTAGGTGATTGGTCAGCTTTTGAGTTGGCTTGTTAGTGAGGATCAAGTTAGAATTAGGTTCTTATAATTAGTTCTTGTCTACCTATCCAAACACAAATGAGAAGGATTTTTTATTCGTTTGTTTTTATTTTAAACTATTTTGTTTGGAAGCAAACTTTTAATTGAGAATTTAAAGAAAAAAATTATATCCATCTTAATATGATTTGGGAAATGTAAGTGTGCTCCGTTTGAAGGAAGCTTTTGTATAACTTGAATTAATTTTAGGTGTGCATGTTATGAGGCAAAGGTAAGCTGTTACTTGTTTTAATAGGTGATTTCTGATCGACAGCCTCCTTTATTCACTATCTTAGATATCTGTGGTTTAGGAGTGAATTTAGGCTTATAGAGTCTTTGCTTTCACCCTCACCCTCATACGCACATGTGTGCACATGTGTATTTTTTGCATGGACAAACTAGATCTGTCACATAGCCACTCCAAAGTAGAGATAATTAATCCTTGTCTATGTTCTTATATTTTTATCCCTATTTGGTTTTAAAACTTTGTTTTTGAAAACCCAAGTTCCAGAAAGCGACTTTTGATTCTTTGACCTCCTTTTTTTTTTTTTTTTTTTGACTCATGTGTACCTTGACTAGCCAGGTTATTTTATTAGGGAGTTATAAAATTTTATATAAACAGTTCAAAATATTGCTATGTGTATTCATTTTGTCCGTGTGACTCAGAATTTTTAGTATCAGCATTACTGATACTGTTTCTTTACCTATGAAGAGAATTATTTTAAACTTTATGTACATACTCAGTTTACTGGTTTAGGCAAAGAAACTTGTGTTGTAAATTTTCCCCCAAAAGTTAATGTCTTTTTAAATCAGTCATCTAAAGTTTTATTTTAGAAGTGTTCCAGGTAACACAGAGTTACAGCCTGTTGCATGGCTCTTTATAAATTCTCCTTTCTTCCTAATTCCACAATTAAACATTGTAGATTAAGTGTTTAATCAGTGACTTTTATGCCTCCTCCTGGTGCTTCTTCCAGGCCATAGCTAGCCATGAGTGATTATTCATATTTGTGTTTCTTTATTTCATTTTGAAAACTTCCTTGATGTTATATACCTGCTACTTAATACGTTGAGGTTCACATGTAGAATAATAGATAGTTTACCCAATTGCAGAGAAAAGATGGCTTTGACCTTGATAAAGGTGAAATTTTAAGTTGTAAAATAATGCGTTAAATATTATCTTAATCGATTTAATCTTTATTTGCCAATATTACCTTAACCAATATTACATTAATTGATTTAACTGTGTATAAGGAATATAATTACCACTTTGCTAAGTTTAAACTTGATTGCATTGTGTATATTTATTAGACCCCTATTCGTTGTTTAGTTGTGTGTTTTTAAATAATCTGTGGCTAAGTGTGAAACTAGATTTATTTGTGAAAATTAAAATGTGACATAAGTGAAATGTGCTTTAGCCAAGACTCACTATTCAAGGCAAGACTGAAATGCCATACTTGGTTTAGAGGTATTCTAGTGTTACTTGCATCATTTGTAGGATACCATATTAGTCACATTGCCACACTTTATTAGAAACAGTAAGGTAATTCAGATGATTTGCTGTAGGGGAAGAGTGTACATACCTGGTTTTTTTGTAACCAGTACAAATTAAGATTAGCTATTGTCTTTAGCACTAGGGTAGTAGAACAGGGAGACAATTCAGCCCCAAACAGCTGCTGTCCTTGATGATAATACAGTAGGAACAAAGCAGGTTCACTCATTTCTTAACCTTGGTTGCTTCTTCTCTTTTTTCCCCATTCCAAAAAAAGGGCTATTAATCACCACATGATGCTCATGAAATATTGTCATTTGCCCACTAAAATGGTTAGGAAATCACCTTTTTTTGTATTCTGTGAGAACACAGATACCCATTTAGGAATATGACTTATGTGAAGTAATAGTTATATTCCAACAAACACAGTGGCGGCTGACAGCCTTGCCTAATCTTAGTTGCTTCATGTTGTATGTGGTGCCTTTGGTATTCTTTACCAATTTTCTGACCTATTAGAATGTTCGACAGGAGGGAAAAAATGTAATTGTGTACCTGAAATTTATAACTTATTCAGAGCTTTTATTTAATGCTTAAAGTGTATTTATGTTATTTTTTAAATGCACATACTTTCAATGTGCTTATTAGTTTAATTTGACAATACTGATGAAGAAGAAACAAAGCAACCAGATTAAATATAGATGTGAGAAAATGCTAAGGGGAACCCCCACCACCATCATTTTAAAAATGTTTTGGGAAGGACAAATAACCCACTATCACAAAGAACCAAGTTAAAAAGAATTACAAGAGTTGTTCTTCAATAAAAATTTCTCCCACTTTATAACGATCTTCTTTGAAGTTTCCTTGAATAAACTGTAGGAATTATTTTTATAATGATACCACCCACAAAATATTGCTCACATTTTTTAAACCTCCTTCATAAACAAATTTGCTGAATAAGCTTTTAGCTTAAAAAATCTAAAGGGGTTTCTGTAAATTGCTAAATGATACCTTTTTTTCTCATTTAGTTTTGTGTGTGTGTGTGAGTTATGTCACACTTTTATTAGGTTCTAAAAAAATCTGTTTAATAAAAGTAGTTGAGTTGAAATTTTTAACATCTTTTTATTGAATTTATGTTTGAATTAAAACTTACAATGATAGATTTAGTTGGTGAATTTATTAGTCCATTAATATTATCATTGAGATAATGCCTGTCCTAGATAATATGATTACATTCTTGATTGATGGAGTGATAAGATTACCTTTTTTTTTTTTTTTTTTGAGATAGATGCCCGATAAGTCTGACGCACTGACATCCAGCTGCTTAAGCATTTAAACATGAGGTTTTCATTTAAATACTCAAATATAAATTTTCAAAAATAGGCCAAAATAGTCTCATGAGTTGCCAATTCTAAATGTTTGCATTTAATGTTTTTTGATAAGTGTAACTTTGAATATATAAGGTACTTCCCTTAAACATTCTACATTTTCTCAAATTTACTCTATGCCCCCCTCTTCCTGCTAGAATAGACGTACTTTCCCTTGTGAAGTCTTAGGCATTAGTGTATGGCTTCCGATGACAGTCTGTTTTTACATCATTATGTTAATTTCCCAAGGAAAGAATTCCAGTCTGTTTACTTGACAACGGCTGTATCTTTTCATTTATGCAAACATTTAACTGTGTATGTATTTAATTTTCTAAAAGTTTTTGTGTTTTTTATTATTGATTAAATGAGATTAATATATTTTTATATTTCTTGTATTTGGTTACTCAAAATAGACTCTTTTAGGAAATCTAATTAAATAGATTACTGCAATTGTCATCTAATTTGTCTTTAGAGGACAAATTAAATGATTAAAAACATTTGTAAAGAGGTGAGGAAAAATTTATTAGGTAAGTTCAGATCAAATTATTTCTGATTTTCTACACTTGGGATATACCAGTACCTTATTACTTTCTAATGAATCTTATCCTTCTAGTTGTGAAGTCACCCTCACTAGTGTAAAATAAATACTGTGTGCTGTTATCTCCTATAGAATTACAAGAATTTACTTTAGTGTACAGCATTTATTTTATTTTTTTATTTGCTGCATTTATTAACTATTTTTTATACTAGCAGTCTACAAAAAACTTTCCAAATATCTGCTAGGGGCATTTGCTGGCATATTAGAATTCACAGCTATGTACAGTATATCATTACTCACATTCTTCTCCAAGAGTGGAAGATTACGATTTCTTATTCTCCTGTTTATTGGATTAGATTTCGGGATTGTTTTGTTTAAACCCTAGGAATTGTTTATTAGGGCCAGTATTTATTTATCTCATTTTATGACACACTTAATTCTTATAACCAGTTACATTAAGGTGTCCCGTAATTTAGTGGCAGTGGGTCGGCATGGTATAATCACATGGCAGTGGCTGGGCATTAGTTTCTCAGGACAGAATCACGTTGATACGGATGTAGGTGTTTTCGTTAACCCAAATGAAAAGTTATTAAGATTACCCCTGTTGCATTAAAAATGTAGCTAAGTAGGTTAATTACTATATAGAAGTTTAGCATATGTTTGCTTTCACCAGTCCTGGAAATGCCAGGCCATTAAACAAAAATTGCAGCTTAAATTGGGCAAGTTTGATAAATGCATTAGCGTACTTCAGTCTAGTAATAAGGTTCTCATGCTTTCTCTCTCCTGTTTTTCATTTCCAGTGTTCTATTTAGGTGAGTTTTTGAATTCTGATTTTTCATTTTAAGTTTTCCCTCTCCACTTCATGAATAGTTACCCCAAAGAGAATGTCTCATTGTCTTAGAAAATGTCCAGCTTAGGTGCCTATTCAGATGCTCATTGAACACTTGTTTTACTCAAGCTCTTCATATATAAATGTTTATTTTCCTTTATTGTTGATGTTTTTCCATTTGTTTCAAGTAAGCCTTCTGGAGATGATGACAGTATTATGTTGCAGTCTTTCATTTGCTGTGTGTTATGTAAAGCTTATATTTTATTTTGCTAGACAAAAAGAAGATATATTTGTAAATATGTGGTGGTTTTATGTTATTCTCATGGTTTATCTCTTCTGTCCAGCTAAGTGTAAAGCTAATGTTCATCTTAATATTTTCCTCTCTTTATAGGGCCAACATTGCCTAGACAAAATTCACAACTACCTGCCCAAGTACAAAATGGCCCATCACAAGAAGAATTGGAAATTCAAAGAAGGTAAGTTTACATTATTGTTGGCACCTTTTCTTTCTACTCACAAGACTGAACTATGAACATCTAAATGTTGAAAGTAGATTGTGTCTTGTCAGCCATTTGAAAGTCAGAACTTTTATTCTTATATTACTAAATATTTGGAATAACCATTAATAAGTGACCAGATACTTGTTATGCTAGACACAAGATCTTAAAATTTCTTATCTGCTCTTTTGTAAAAATCACACTTGTGGTAAATTTAAACTATTTTAAATGCACTTAATAGCATACAAAAATGTCTTTAGACTTCAAGGAGTTTTATTTTTATATTGATGATGATGGTTGCCATCGAGTCTGTTCTGGCTCATGGCAACTCCATGTGTGCAGAGTAGAAATGCACTCCATAGGATTTTCAAGGCTGTGACCTTCGGGAAGGAGATTGCCAAGCCTGTCTTCTGAGGAGCCTCTGATGAGTTCAAACTACCAAACTTTTGGCTAGTAGTTACAAATTAATTTGTAACCATTATGACTTTACATGATTAATTTAACTGGAAAGTTGAAATAGTTGTGGCTGGTTCTGTAAGACATTGATCTTGAGATATTACCATCGGGTTTAATAGTGTAATATAAGATCATTCTGTTTATATCTAAACTGCTGGTTGAATAAGATTGATAACATTGTCATTTCAGTGCAGTTTAGAAATTCTCTTGAAATCATAATACAGCCTCATTTAGGGGTTAATGTGCTCAGCTGCTAACCAGAAGGTTGGAGGTTTGAGTCTACCCAGAGGTGCCTGCAAAAAAAAGTTTGGCAATCTACTTTTGAAGAATCATCCATTGAAAACCCTATGGAGCACAGTTCTGATCTGACACACACTGAGGTCTCCGTAAGTCAGAATTGACTTGACAGCAACTGTTTTTTCGTTGTTGTTGTTGTTGATGTTATTGTTTTTCTGAATTAGCAGAGACTTTGTAACAAAACAGTTTTATAAAATTCAAGTACATTCAGTAACTACAATTGAGCAAGTCAAACTAGATACCCCATTTTTAAACAAAGTGATAACTTTTTAGAGATGACTGATGTTTTTAATCCCTATTTTGTCCTATTGATAACCTTTGCTAGACAGACCACTATATAGATGAACTTTTCCGATTGAGAAACGTTTGCTCCACAGCAAGCCAGTAATTCATTTCTTCTTTTGAGCTTTGGTTTGGATCTTACATTTGAAAACATTCTTTGTTTTCATTCTCTGTCTACGTTAGCTTAATACATATGTCAAGTTCCCCTGAGAGCAGGCAGTCAGAGGGGTCTCTTGTTACTGTTCAGTCTCAGCTGCTCTGGAGAACAAGTACTTAGCTCTTGAGAAAGGATCTCCTGGGGTCTTCTCCCAAAATGAATTTTGTTTTTCCTGCAGAGCCTATATATTCAGTCAAATCACTGGAAATACCCACCAAGTATGATGATAATCCATCTAAGATTTTTGAGTGATGCCCTAACCAGATACAAATAAAACTTTCTGTAGATAAAAATAAGATAAGTTTAAGGGATATAATCATTTTGGTTTCATATTTAAATTTAAACATACCAGGATAATTCCAAGAGTTAGAAATTGTAATGATACTGTACACAACATACACACACACTCCGTAAAACAGAAGAGTAATAAAAGATAGACCATAGTATCACTGAGAGACAAATACATTTGCAGATAATAGGAAGAACCAGGAGAGAACCCACACATATAAGAGTGGGCAAGCAAGTTATCCCTGAGATGGTTGCTGGAGGCCAGGGAAATAAAGAACAGACACAGAGACTATGTACGGTTACTACTGCCTTGTGGTGGAGGGTCACAGATGGGCGACCCCCAGCACTGTGGCTGTCAGAAACCAGCAGCTCACACTCAAGAGTTGGAGATGGGTATTGAGTGAAGTTTTAGTAATTGTTATGAAAACTATACCCCATGTAGATTATTTCCCCTATCAAAGTGCTTAGCCGTAGCAATGCTCATCTGAACCTGAGGTTTTTTATTTGTATGTAAGTAGTTCCTTCTAAAGGGTTAATGTTTGAATACTCATTATTCGTGGATTCCATCAGTATTTATGAATTTTTCTACTCAGTAAAATTTATTGGTAGCCCAAAAGTCAATACTGGGGTGCTTCTTAGCCATTCACTGACATGTGCATGTACAAAGCGGTGAAGAACTTAAACGGCCCAACATGCACGATCCCAGCTTAGACCCAAGACTGGTTCTGTACTTGCTAGTTCAGTATTCCAGGCAACTTTACAGAAGCGTAACTACTGCAGATAATGAGAATCGACTCTAGATTGTTTTAAGTGGAGGATGTTGTTTTATACTGATTTATTTAGTTGAAGACTTTAACTCAGTCATTTTGAGGAGTGAAATCCAAATTTCTGGGAAATTTATATGAATTTTAAGAAATATTTTCTGTCCAGTCCTGCACAAGACTCTTCTTTTAAATAAACCTTCCACAAGATGTTGATCAATTTCTTTCTTTCTCTGTCTCTCTCTCATTATTAATCTCAACGCCATTCCTTTCTAATCTCGTGAACTATGCGTTTTATCGCCATAAGTCTACTGAACATGCTGCTTCCACCATTGACTTACTTCTAGTTTAAATTTCTTCTCTATGTAATCTTCATCTACCACTTCTCTGTGTTGCTTTTGATAGTCTCTAGTTTCTTCTTATTGCTAATATCCTTTTACCTTTCCTGCACCTCTTTTTTTTACCCCCTTATACAAAACTCTGTACTTAGCTATCTTTGTTGTTGTTGATGTGATCGTCTACTTTTGATCCAGATCCGTATTTTCAGCTAAATAGAGTACTGTCATGGACGCTTTTGAGAATTTGAAGAAAGCAGTGGACTGCTGCCTGCCCCAACCTTCCTACCCTTCAATTGCATATGTGCAGTTACATACAAAAATTTGCATATCATTTCAGAGGGTCACCAAAAAAAAAAAAACCAAACCAAACCCATTGCCATCCAGTTGATTCCAACTCATAGCGACTCTATAGGACAGAGTAGAACTGCCCCATGGGGTTTTCAGGGACACAGCTGGTGAATTCAAGCTCTTAACCACTGTGCCACCAGAGCTCTTTAGAGGATCACAGACCCCCTAAATTCCAATAACGGATTCTCAGTGAGAATTCCTATTGTAGAACTCATCCATTTGGATATCCTCCATTTAAACTGTTATGATCTCATTCTTCATGTACATTCCTTCTTTTTAATATTTCTCCCAAAATTTCAACTTATTCAAGATACCTATTCAAGTACATCTTATTATTCCTTTCTCTAGAAGCCTAGTGGATTTGCTGTTTTGACATTCTCATTACTAATAGCTTTCTTCAGTACTTACCCTATTATGCATGTATCGTTATTATAGTTTCTTAGTTGATTTTTCTGTGTTTAGCATAATTCCTTTCCAGTTCTTCCTACTTTGTTACTGCCAGATTAATTTTTTAACTCTTTTGCATGTGGCAAAGAAAATCTCAAACTGTACAGAAGGACATAAAATGGGAGGGAGGTGGAATCTCCTACACGATTGTGCCTTTCTCCTCATTCTTACTTTCAGAATTAATCACTTTTAACCGTTTCTGCTTTTAATACTTTTGGTGGCTCCCTCCGTAACGCTAAATAATATGTTTCTGTTTCTTAGTTAATCATATTATGTTGTTGTGTGCCATCGAGTTGATTCCGACTCATAGTGACCCTGTGGTACAGAGTAAAACTGCCCCATAGTGTTTCCTAGGCTCTAATCTTTACAGGAGCAGATAGCAGGTGTTTTTTTGCGCAGAGCGGGTGGTGGGTTCAAACCGCTGACCTTTCTGTTAGCAGCTGAGCTCTTAACAACTGTGCCACCGGGGCTGTAGATTATAGCTATTGACTGTCCACCATGAAAAATGAAGACTTCTTCCCTTCCCATGCCAGTTAGTGATAGTTACTATTTGTATTTCTGCTGTTGGTTTCTTTTTATAACTTGTATCTTGTTACATTAACTTCAGACTGTATCTCTTCACTGCTTACTTTGTTAGAGGAGTGAGTGTTGCACCTCCCTATCCCTCTTCCGGGGCCCTGGTGGTGCAGTGGTTAAGAGCTCTGCTGCTAACCAAAAGGTGAGCAATTCAAGTCCATCAGCCACTCCTTGGAAACCCTATGGGGCAGTTCTACTCTGTTCTATAGCGTTGCTATGAATCGGAACCAACTCAACGGCATCTAGCAGCAACATCCCTCTTCCATTCCACCAGGTGGTTTTATTTTCACGGTTTATACATTTGCTGTCTTTTCTGTAACTGTCATTAAATCTCTGTCTTTATGTTTGCAGGTGGTCTGTTTTCTTTCTTTTCTAGAATCCTTTTAAACCTTCTTATTAACCATAGTAGTCTTGAGTATTTACAAAAGTATGGCTGGTTATGGTTTTTTCCCTCATTTATCTAGCTCAGTACCTCAATGGATCTTTTCTATTTGAAGATTTATTCACAACCCTTTAAAAAAAAAAAGTTTTTTCTTTTTTATTAATTTTTTTGACTTGTCTCTGTTTTCTCTGTGTGCTGTGTTTTGGGAGCTCTTAATGGTCAAATGCTGCACCTTCTGGGTTATTTCCTTATAACCTTTATCTTTTCTTTGATTTTCTCCCTCCCTCTTCTTGTTCTGTCTTCTTGGCAGTTTTCTTTACCTTGTATTCTAAACCAGGACTGTTCAGTAGAAATATAATATAAGCCATATGTAATTACAATTTTTCTAATAGCTGTATTAAAGTAGTGAAATTAATTTTAATAATACATTTTATTTAACCCAGTGTATCTAAAGTATCACCCCTTCAACATGAAATCAATATAAAATTATTAATAGGCTACTTTACATTCTATTTTTCATACTAAGTCTTCAAACTTTAGGGTGTATTTTATAGTTACAGGACATTTCTGTTCAGACTAACCTCATTTCAAGTGCTCGGTAGCCGCATGTGGCACATGGCTACCTAATTAGACAGCACAGTAGATCT